CTAACCTTGGGCTTTGTGGATCTCATGTAGATCTAGGTTAAGGGCAATTCTTGGGCTCAGAAAGACAAGTTATCTCTCGAACTGGGCATCCAAAAAACAAGAGTTGGAAGAAAAGAAATATTAGGCTTTCTTAATGTTGACAAAAGAACTGCCTATGTATGCCCTTGATAATGACAAGGTTCATTTGCAGTAGCAATCAAGCCAAATTATTGATACGGGATTAGTTCAGTTGGATAAGTTTATTTTTTTTTATAAAAAAATTTTGGGTTTAAATCTTATCAATGATTATTTATTGAGATTATCTCAAATGTACGATTTACAATTGACACATTTTATCTTTGATTTAAGAGATTAAGCAACTTATTTACTTCAAATTTTTTTTAAAAAAAAAAAAAATTCAAGTCAAATTACTTAACTACAACGAGGTCGGTAGGATGATGAAAAAAAGGACCTATCTTTCAACTAAAAACAGCATAAAGTTATCAAAGAGAGCAAATCATAGCTTCTGAACAAAAGTCATGAATATGTTTATTGATCTCATCAGGCTGTTCTTCACGGATATGGTACGCTGCTCCAATTACTACCACTTCTCGCAAAAATGGAACATCTTTATTGAAACCCCCCCTCCCTTGTGTATATAGTCCTTGGCTCCAGGAGCATGATAAGTCAGATCCTTCTCGCCTACAATAAACTTAACTGTCACTTTTACTTGATTCCCTGTCCAGGGTGCTGTAAGTTCCCAGTTGCTGCAACAAAAATAACAGCAAATTGATAAAAAAAAACTGCCAACAGCCATGTGGTCCTCTTGGTATAGTGCTAGACCTTTCGTTTTAGTGATCAGGTTCAATTTTGACAGCTTCAAATACCAACAAAGAATAAAAAAATTGAAGAACTGAACTAGTAGCAGATATCACGCAAGAATCATAGATGTCAATTTAACTTGGTGAAGTTATACAAGTCTAAATTTCTGTAGTAGTTTAGTCCTCCAGTGATGCCTGTCTTCTCATATTTGTTGGTGTAATACTTAACATTTTCCTCTGACAACCAAGAGGGCAAGCTAATTGGAGTATCAGGTTGTCTAAAATATCTGTCCTTTGGTAGATAAAAGGAGGATCTGGACTAAGGTACGTTAGGGCTCCCTTGATCACCCTCTTGGTTCCTAGCTCGAGACACTCAGCCTCTTTCGTACCTCAAATCAACTTAACTATCACGGTTCACACTAATTTATGAGAAATTATTCGCTTCGATCTTATTGACCTTACAATTTTATCTTCAAAAGATATCTCGCAAGTTAAAAATGATGTGAACATTTATAACTCATGATCAACTCTAACACATGACCGATGTGAGATTCATGGTTCCTTTCCAAAATCATAACATCCTCTTCCACTCTGATGAAAATCCATCATCTTTGGTGATACATCACTAATACCCTCAAAACCGGTTCTAATATCACTTATCACAAGCCGAGACCCAGGACCATCAAGCAAAATTTTCCTTTAGCCATTAGCTGGCCTATTGATCAGCTGGGCTGTATATGCAGACCGTGTGCAAATTGCAATTTGATTGAAATAATCAGACATTGAAACAGCTATTATGCTTTGGGAAAGCGCAATAATGATCAATAACGATTAGAGTGTCATAATTAAAATTTTCATAGAGCTTGATGAAGGAAAAAGAAAAGAAAGAACATGAAATCTGTAAATGTAGAAATCATCACCATACAAAGCTCTGAGACTCTCAATAGGTTTCCGATTGGGATTCCTGGGACTGAACAAAACGCCCAAGTTAACCAATGCCTTAACCTTGTCTGGTTTAACAGGCACAACCACTAAGCTATGACCGCACCCCAACCATGTCCTACGACAAAAATTTGGTCCTGGTCGGAAGCCACCGCATCCAAGAGCCAATTATATCCCCAACCACGTTCAAGATGGTTTAGCCGGAGGCCTCCTCCAGAGCATCAGTGTCCCCATGTCCACGAAGGTCAGGAGCCACCGTCAGGTAGCCAAGCCATCGAGGCAATGGCAATGGTCTGGAGACGCAAGCAGTACCAAAGCTCTGGCAATCCATGGAGGAAGAGCATTACAGGGCCTTTGCCTTTCTCTGCTACGTGCATGTTTATGCCGTTAACCTTGACCATCTTGTGCTCTATCCCCTCCATTTCTCTTCAGCCATGTCGTTGCTTCTTGATGTAAACTTCTAAGAAAAAGTAGTACAAAAGATATTAAGCATTCAGTGTTTTAATAATGAAACTCGACAGTGAAAGTTAATAAAAGTAGGGGGTTAATTCGGTTGGTTAAATTAATTGAGTTGAATTATTTATAATTGAATTAATTGAATTATATTATTTTATTTATTTTAATTAAATTAAATTTTTTAATTTAAAAAATTAATCTACCTAGATTTAATTCAATTAATTTGGTTAAAAAATTAATTGAATACTAAAATATATTAAATTAAATTAAATTTTAAATTTTTTACATTTAAAATAAATTAAATAAAATTATCAAATAAAACTATTTAAATATGAAAAAATTAAGTAAAAATCTTTAATAATTTGAAATAAAATAGATAATTTCATGTATTTTTAGTTATATATATTTTATTATATTATGATTAAAATTTTGATTAATTTAACTTTTGAATCTAATTAATTGAAAATTAAATTTTTTAAAAATTATTTTTGATAATCAATCAATACTAATTTAATAACTGATTGATTAATAAAATTAAATTAATTCTACAGATTAATTCAATTGAAACTGAATTATAAACACGGATTTATGATCCGTTAATTGCTAATTGAAAAAGGCCATGAGTTTGGAATAGAAGGATGTAGATCTCAATCAGCCGAAAGAACAAGGAAAGCCATGATCGCATGTTAATGGACTAGGCATTTAACTACTCGAAATGGGTATCCATTAAGGCCTGTTATTGTCAGCCCAAAGAACTTCTCCAAACTTAGCCCACTTTCGATGAGACATTTTTAAGAAAAGAAAAATAGGAGTAATTGAGTTAGGAAAGATCAAATTCTTTTGATCAAGAATAATGGATGGAGAAATTTAAACTAATTTAGATGAGAGATATATGCGTTTATTCTTGGCCTAAACATTTAAGCATGGAAAAGAACAAATTTAAGTTCAAAAAAATGAAAAAAAAATCAAATTTAAGCATGAGATATCTACATATGATTACAATTAAAATATAAAGAAAATGAAAATTTCCAACTTTAGTTTTCATAACAAAAAAAAATGGTTTTAATTTGGTTAAAGAATTAGATTAATAATGGATTTTCCTTTTGCCAAGTACTAATAATGATGAATCTAGGGTTTAAATCAAATAATTCATCTATTTTTATTAAAATGTGGATTTTTGTAGATTGAGATTCAATTTTAGTATTTACAATTTTTTTTCCTAATCTTTTTAAACTGGATTTTCTTTATACAAAAATGTTAATAATGATGGATATTGAAAAGAATGAATTGGTTTGGACTAAATGGGTGATGGATTTCGTCCGGAATCCCCATGAATAGCATCAAACCTTATTACATGATATTTTCTTTCTTATTCTTAAGCAAGTTCCCGAGAGAGCTTAGTTGATACATAATTTATGTTTCGTTTGCATTTCAATCCACTTTGGACAAAGGGCTTGAAAGAAAAAGGGTCAATTCGTTTTCAAAGCAATCGAATTTTGCCATGTGCAAGGTGCAAGTTATGTAAACAACAGTATTGTTGAAAGTGAATGCCTCAATAATTTTCTTATAGCTCGAAACTCACACCTCAACATCTAGATGGCCTGCTATAGAAAAGCTCATCATATAATTCTTAAGATAATTCATGCCAATTTGCCCAAAGATCATTCAAAGGTTTCACAATAAAGTTTTCTTTTCATAAGAAAAAAACCTTTTTTTTTTATTTGAAGAAAGGTGATACCAATCATATTTTTTGAAAATGATTATGCATCAACCATACAACTAAATATTCAAGTATTTTGTATGCTTATACTTTAGGTGCAAGCATGACAATTCCTTTTGATTGAAGGACATATACTAATTGTCTTAAATCAACCATTTTACAAAATCAAAGTAGACAAGAAAAGATTTATTAAGGGTTTCTCATTTTCTCTTCTATCTTAGTTTTAAAGTAAGCACACCCCACATCCAAGGAAAGTTCTTTTGTCCTAATCAATAATTGGGTGGGTCGGATTTGGATTTATATTTGATGATTTTGAATAAGATTATTTTGAGTCAAAAAATTCAAATTATTTTTAATTTCAATCATTTATAATTCATATCATTTCAGTTTCGAGTTTTTTAAATTTGATGATTAAAAATGGGTAGTTGGGTGCACTTGCATTTAGCATTTAACACCTCCCTCCCAAGTCCCAGCTGACAAAGGGCACGTTTGTTTTGAATGGTACGTTCCATTTCCAAGAGGAAAACGACGTTTGCCATCAGGTTCAGTGAAGCCCAAAAAGGGCTCTGATCTTAAGCAAGGAGCGTTGCATTTTAGCAAAGCAGCCAATGTCACATGCTGCCGCCGCTCCTTATTTTGGAGTCTTGTTCGATAGATTGAAAGTTTTGAGCAGATCATTAAGGCTCTTCGTCATGTTTCTGTCTGATCACTTACCTAGTAATTTCAACGGGATGAGACAGGCTCTAAATCACAAATATCATTAACATTGTGATAATTTTAGGCCCCAAAACTTACCCACAGAATCCAAGCAGATCTCATCTGCCGCTAGCTAACGTTTGTCATGGTGGTAACATCCTTGGATGATGGTCCTACATTGACCACATCACATGGTTCTTTGGTCCAATGACCGACAAATGGCTGCACTTGACATGAAAAGTGCAAAAACAATAAAAACGAATCTCACAAAAGAATACGCAAGAGATACGAATAGATCTTCATATATAATAATCTAGCAACGGATTTCATGTTTTGTTCTTACTTCAACGGCCCAAAGGGTAGTTGTTTAAGGGAATAACCCATCAAGCTGAACTAGAATGGGATCACAAGTATACAGGATTAAACTAAAAAATCATTGATTCCAATGAAACAAGTACGGGGAAAAAAGTAGAAAGTCTTGGTCAAAGCACGAGTTCATTAGTTTGCAGAAATCAATAAAGGACCAAGCAACAAACGAAAATGGAGGATGAAGCGATCTCCTCCATTAACAGTACATATCAAACACTCAGTTTGCATCTTGCACAACCCGCATGAAAAGAGGGACCAGATGGGAAAGATAACAAAGACTCGGAAGAACAAAGCTAGAGCATAAAAAACTAGCTTTACCCGAAAAAAGATGGGTTAAAGAAAATGGAAAACAAATTAAGAAAGCTTGGTTTGGTTAAGTAACCAAATATATGGGCATGGCAGAGGTAGAAACCCTGTGATGCTGCTCCATGTTGAGTTCCCTGAGACTGAGATAAGGAATTTCCAAATCTCCTTTTCTTGTAGCAGTCAAAGTTCCAGCCAAGGGACCTGAAGATGGGCGACTTGTGCTTCTGTAAGGAGTGCTTGAACCGCTTCTGCTCTCAGTTATGTAAATGGGTCCTGAAATTGAAGCCCTGAAAGCTCTAGCCCTTGCACGATGGACGTCAGGTTCAAGATCAAGATCTAGATCAAGAGTGTCACGGTGGTTCTTACTGCCATGTAGACTCCATTTTTTCCACTTGAAGAACAAGAAAGCATTTTTCCACCAACGTTTCTTCTTTTTAGACTTGTGGTTTTTCTTGGAATATTGCTCGTCTTTTGAGATGGGTTTTTGGAGCTTGAAATGTAGTGAGTCTATGGATCTTGATGTTTCTTTCCTGTGCTTTCTTGCTTCTTCCAAGACCTGGTTTTTTTCAGGTAGAAACAAGAAAAGGGTTAGTAAAGAACTTAACAGAGAAACAAAATGGAGACCTTTTAAGGCATTTCAAACCTGAAAATAGCCGATTTGGGGGTCAAAGCCATAGTCACTGAAGTGCTGGGGTTCAGGCATCGGAAAGATTGGAGACTTGTTTGACATTGTGTCTTTGTGTTAGAATTCACTGACTAAAATATTGTTATTCTGCCTACGAGAGGGAAAGGTAATTAGTGTAAAATGACTTTTGGAAGAGTAGATAAGGAGATGGGAAAGTTAAAAAGAAAAAGGGAGAGCTTTGGCCTTTGGGGCTCAAGGTGGGAATGGCCGTTGGGAAGTGACAAACCCTAGTAATTGCCAAGTTTGGATTTCCAATGGCACTACTGCTTATTTAAACCAAGAATTTACTGTATTTTGTCTCCTACACTTTCAGGATGATAGGCAATTAGTAACAGACTAACAGTAGTTTGATGGACAGTTACTACTAGTATTTTACATGGAGGAGGAGAGCCCCATGTGCCACATGGGGCCATGGATTATGCATAGAAGCTTAGCCAAATCTAGCTCTTTTTCGTATTGTTTTCTTTACCATATCACCATTCACCAGGAATTGTGTTCAAACTTGATTGAAGATAAGATCCTGTTTTGAATTTGCAGCTTGGAATATAGACTATAGCCCATAAAAATTTTTAAAAATTTGTCCGTATTAATATGCAACTATATTTTCTCGTTTTTTGTTTTTTTGTTTTTTTCTGTTCTGTCTCCTTACACGAAAATATATTTTGTCTTGTTTTTCAGTTCTCACATGAAAGGCATTTTCAGGCTTCAGCCCCTTTTTTTTTTTTTTTGTAATCATTGGGATCTTGAAACAGTTGGTGCCAATTTAACCCACGTACTTATTAGCTTTAGAAAGTTTGGCAATGGAGCATTATATAATTTCCACAAACTAGCTTCTTTTTGCCAACTTTTCTTAAGCTTTTTCCCATAATTTTATTTCTAATAATATTTTTTTATTAGGTAAATCATAACTTAAAATAAAAGAACGGTCAAAAAATATTAAAATTTAAATATTAAATTTATTATATATTATTTTTTAAATATAATTATATAAATCAATTGAATTAAATAATTTTTTTAAGTGCAGTGGACTCGATCAATTACATTGTTAAAAATCCTGAATTCAAAAGTTGTTTAGAATTTTGTTGGTCTTTTTTTTTTATTGTATTTAACTAAAAGAGAATTTGTACTACCATTAAAAGGTGTAGAAGCATATGAGAGGAAATAAATGAAGGAATGGGCAGTAGTAAGCATATATCTTTCTCTTTGTTGATTACAATCACATTATTCACATTGATGTTTGCCATGTATTTTTACATCATTGTAAGGCATCAAAATTTTTATTCCAAGAGCAGCACTACCATAGCAGATGGAAAGAACCTGAACCCTTCAAATCTACATCTACATATAATAACTGTTCAGACAATCTCCAAATAATACACAACAGCTGAACAGGGGAAAAAATGGTTAGTTTTGCCCTCAATCCCAATGCTGTCTGGTTTTATTCAAATAATGATTTTCTTAATATAATCATTGAAAAATTATGAAAATTCATACTCAATTTATGACATATTATTTATTTTTAATATGAAATTTTAATAATTTTATTTCAAAAAAATTTATAAATATAAATTTAGATATTTATATATATATAGTAAGTGATCTTTGTAATATCTTACGTGAGATTGTAACATTACAAAAATGAAACCCACATATATTAATAGTATTATTTAAGGATGATAATGAATTAAGTCAGTACGAATTTTTATTTGTTTTAAATCTGATTTGATTATGTAAGTTTAATATTCAAACCCAACTTAACTTAACCCTATATTAAAATATTATTTTTTTCAAACCCATACATATTTAAACTCATAATTGACCCGATTTGAATTAATAAAATATTATTTTAAATAAAAATTTATTTTAATATTATTTTTAATATAAAAATATTGTTTTAAATATAAATATAAAATTAAATAAATATAAAATTTTAAATTTAAATAAATAATAAAAAAATAATATATATCAGATTATGTCAAAAAAATTTTATTTAAAACTTAATCTCAATATTATCTCGATTTTTTTTTAAATATTCATCTTAATTTGATTTAAAATTTAATTTAAATAAAAAAAACTCAATCTTATAAAATTAAATCGAATCAAAATGCGACGGGTAAATTACCAAGCCTACTATTATCTTAAGACTTCCATCGATTACCTAACCCTCGGAATCTAATGTAGATTATAATGGAAAGAGACCTGAAACTTTGACTAGCAACTCTACTTTATTACAAACAAAGCATTATGTGTGAACCATCTTGAATTCTTGATAAGCGAGAATGGAGCATGAGCATCACGTGAAAATACCATATGCTTTGCTATTTAATTATGATAATGATACATCACGGGTACGAAGAGAATTGATACTTTTGAAGCAGCCTAAGGAGCTAGCCAATCCGTGTGTGTTGATCACGAGTGACAGTTCTTTTTGTATTTTTTTTTTATAAAAAAATCATAGTTTAAGAATAAATTAAAAGATTATAGATATTAAGATAAAATTAAATATAATTTAAAAAAAATCAAGAAATTAAAAATCAATTTAAAATAAAAATATTTTATTCTATTCGAATTGAAATTAATTTTTTTATTTAGTTTAAATTATGATCTGTATATTAAATTTAAATTAAATTTTGAATCAAAAAGTGAAAAATAAAAAAATTTTAAATCGTATCAAATTATATATTTTTTAAATTTTTATAAAATAAAATAATTATTATATATAAAGATATTATGAATTTTATTAAAATAATATATAAAAAATAAAAAAAATAAAATTTAAAAATTAATGAATCAAATCAAATAAATAAAATTTAATTCAAATCAATTTTAAAATAAAATCGAATTTTAAAATTTTATAATAATATATATTGCTCGGCGATTTCATTCATAAATGTTAGTCCATTTCTAACCAATCACGATTGAATCACAAGATTCTCAAAGGCCTTAGGCCCATTTAAGCCTTTTCTTTGTTTCTCTTCATTGTCAATGCTTGTTTTAACATCCGGACTACAGCCCACACTGTCGTTTCAGGTCTGTACAATTTCTGATGCAAGAAGCCAACTACCATAATAATTAAATGAAAATAATGTTACATCTGTGTCGGAAACACAAAAATGTCCTAACATCAACGTAAATGTCTGGAACCCATTTTCCATTGATGAATGCCCCAGCTTTTTCCTAAGGCAATTAGGAAGGACACTTATCGTTTACAAATTTTGTCCTTTTGGAGGTACATGATACGGTGCTTTAGCTTTTCCAGTTAAGATTAGACTTGCATAAACAAATAATATTACTAATTATGCTATACCCTTAATTAAGGTACTGAACGCATATGGCCCTTACTCTGAGTGCATTTTCTTTTTTTTAGTCAAATATTCAAAATAAATAAATTAGTTATACTCTTATATTATAATAAATTATATCGTATTTAATAATCTAAAAAATAATAATTATAAATTATGCATTTAAAATTATTACAATAATAAATAAGCGACTGACTTCAAATTTAAAATCACTTATTTAAAAAAATACGATTCTACTGATTGATTTTGTTGGTTAAAAACCTTCAATTTAATTACATCAACGAAAGTGAAATTAAATAATAAATCAAATACATAAGAGACAATAATTTAATGTGGTTTGGTCCAATCAATCTACGTCCACGAATGAGAAACAAAATTCACTAATTGTAGAGAATTACAAACATACATCAAATCATCAATCTCACTCAACAATCAATACTCATAAGACATTCTCAATCTCCTGAAGTATTCTCAACCCAAACAAACATAAACTCAAACCCTTGTGTACATAATCAAACACATATCCATATGCTTCTATACATCATACCCCTCTCAGTCTCCTCTAGTCTACTCATAAATAAACATACACACCTATAAGACGTAGAGCTCTAATACTCTTATGGGGTGTCTATCCCATAAAATCCTATAACTCTCTTACATCTTTTTTTCATATTTAACCCTGTAGAGACTTCACATATTTATAATTATACAAACTTTTCTATTAAGAATCCTTCTCCTATTAGAAATTTTTTTCTGTAAGTTAAACTTACCTATTAAGAATCCATTTCTTTTTAGAATTTTTCTCTTGCAAGTCAAACTTACTTATTAAGAATCCTCTTTCTCTTAAATTTTTTTTTTTACAATTTTCATATCCATCAAGTAATATTTAATAAATTTTAAATAAATCTCAAATAAATTTCTTATGAGATTTAAATCAATATTTTTAACCGATCTAACTCCTTGCTAGTTTGCTAAGACATTTTCTTTAGTGTATTTCGTGCAACTAATGCATTCTGATTTGGATTATGAGACTAAACATGATAAAATATGAGCCCAATATCCAGAATGGCTAAGACAAAGGGCCGAAAGAACAAAAAAAAAATTGAAGGACATTAACGTCAATTAACAGAATCCCGCGTCAACCCTGGCGTCGGTTTGACTAAAATTGCAGGAGAGCAGTTGCTAGGAAGCTAGAACAGCTGCTCCAAACTCTTTACTTAAGAAACCCTCAAGAACTTTCCTTTTTCCCACGTACTTCCCTTTCTCTCACCTTTTCTTTTCCTTTTTAATTTCTCTCCGATCAAACACAAAAATCAAACACTGACTCTCTCCGAAAAATACCGAACTTCGAAGCCATGAGTGAAAACAACGGTGGATTCAGAGATACCCCCAACGAGAGCTATGCCTTAAGCGGAAGAATCATGCTCACCGCAATCGTCGTTTTGTTCTTCGTAGTGATTCTCATGTTTAGTCTCCATCTTTACGCTCGTTGGTACCTTCTCCGTGCGCGCCGTCGCCGTCGTTCCAGCAACGCCCGCCGCAATCCGCGTCGAACACAGGTCGTCTTCTACGTCGACCCGAACTCTATTGCGGCAACTCATGCCGCGACGCAAGGTCTCGATGCGCGTGTTCTCAAGTCTCTCCCGGTTTTCACTTTCTCCTCCAAGACGCATCCGGATTCCTCCCTCGAATGCGCTGTTTGTTTGTCGGAATTCGAAGAAAACGAATCGGGTCGGGTTTTACCCAAATGTAATCATAGTTTCCATGTAGAGTGTATAGACATGTGGTTTCACTCTCACTCCACGTGTCCTCTTTGTCGGACCCCCGTTGAAGAATCCGTAACCGTTTCTGATAACCCGGGTGATTTAGTTTTAACGATTAATGAACCGTCAGGCGGAGAATCCGAATCGAATCAGGGCTCCGATTTGTGTGTCACGTGTCAGCACGAGGAGGGACAGGCCGGTACGTCCGCCGTTGGGGCCGGGAGGAAGTTATCGATCGAGGTTCCCAGAAGAAATATCGAAGGTTTTGAAGGTGAGTCGAGTGGGTGTGGTTCAGGACCGAGTCAATCTTATAAATCGCCGATTGGTCGAATGCTGTCGTTTAAGAGGATATTAAGTAGAGATAGGAGAGGGAATGGAACGAGTCCTTGTCCTTCGCCGATTAACGCGGGGAGTTGTGGTGGGTCAATCACTGTGTCTGAGTCCGATATCGAGCGAGGTGGGAACGAGACTCGGCAAACTCAGGGTTGACTCGGGCAGGGTATGACTCAGTTAGCAATTATTAGCCACGTTGCTGATTTGCCTTATCGATGTGAGAAGACATTCATTCGGGACGGCCAGAATCCACGAGCCTCGAGGTTGTTTGAATGAGGTGAATGTGCACGTGGCAGATTCTGGGACGTTGATGAGTGGATACATTTGTTCGTAAAATCTTTTGTTTTGTGTAAAGATTTGTCTCATTAAATTAATTTCTTCTTTTCTTTTCCTTTGGTTAAAACTCCTTGTTTTAATGTAGATTCAATGGATGGATCCTTCCCTGGAAAAAAAAAACCATAATTTAAGGTATTGTTATTGAACGTATTTCACTTACAATTATTTATATTTTAATTTTATAATTAATTAATTATAATAAAAATTATATAAGAGTTCAATTGATCTTATAAAATTTTTTATTAAATTTTGATTGATTAATTATATTGCAATAATTATAAATGATATAATGTTTATTGATGTCGCATCAATTTGTGTATGATTGTCTTAGTTATTTTCATAATATAAAATTTTTTACGCTAAAAATGAATGAATTATTATAATGTGTTTTACGATAACAAATTAGATTGTTAGTGTTGGTATAAAATAAAAACAGAAATTCGTTAATGGATGTTTATAATTTTTGTATAAATAAAAACCATGTTAATAATAAATATGAGAGGTAAATTTTATAATCGATCAAGTCGAATTTAAAACGAGTTATTTTGAATAAAATGATTGTTAGTGTAACAAGAAAATTTAGATAGTCTCGAGAAAGATTATTTTGGTTTTAATTATTTCGAATTTTAATTTTTAAATTAATTAATTTAAAATTATTCTAATTTAAATATTTTGAATTCAAATTAAATGAATTTGGATTATTAGTTTTTTATCAAACTAAATTAAGTTGGGTTTAAATTTGTTTAAATCGGGCTAAAGTCAGATCAATTTCGTCAACTCTACTAATAATACCAATTAACGTCTCTACACAATTTTTGAAAATCTTTTTCGAAAACAAAAGAGAGATATTGAATTTAGTATTTATTAAATATTATTTTTAAAAATAATTATATAATTAATTAAATTAAATTAAAATTTGAGTTCTTATTAATATTTGACATTTATATGCTTAAAATAAAATCTAGCTAATATTAAAATCTTTGAATTTTTTAATGCTAATAGGGATAACTCTTGCTAACAGAGGAAAAATCACGTTTTCGAAGTCAAATGTATGTGATCTCGGCTCCAGTTTGTAGTCGAGTTTAAACGGTAGACAGTCAAAGCATCCACATTTATCACAATTAATGTCTTTGAAATTTTTCCAAAATTTCCTTGTTTTTAAAGTAACATGAATTTGTTTTTGCCTAACCTAATTTAGAATTAGGTTTGAATTTTAAACCGCGGAATTTAAACGTAAATATAATGTTAAATACATTAGTATTTTTTTATTATTAAAAATGAATCAACCGTAAAAATTAATTAAGAGGTATAATTATAATTTGAAATTTATGGTTTAAAAATAAAATTATTAAGTATCCATTTGATTATTTATTTTTGATAAAAATAATTTATTTTTTTCCTTTCCAACATTATATATATTTTTAAATATTTTAATTTTTTACAATAATATTAAAAATTAAAAAATCTTAAATCATAATTTTTTATAATACCTTTTAAATGTATTTTTTTTTTTCAAATCGAGCATTTCCAATTGCAATAACGTAGACCTAAACGCTAAGCTTTAAAGAATAGACAGAATCCTAAGCTGGTTGGATAGATTTTGTTGATAGTCAATCATTCATGGGCAGCTGTTGAAAATGCAATGGATTGGAGCTTCTTATTTCGAATTTTATGAATAATTTATTCTTTTATGAAGTTTGATCTAACTATTCCGAATTAATTAGAGCCTAATGTAGTTATTGGACATAAAAAATCTCAAGAAAAAAAAAAGAATTATGTGTTTTAAAATTCGAATATGAACCCTGTTTTACACTCTTATTATTTATATATACTTGTGGTCTGACCTGTAATACAATTGGTTATCGGTTCATGGTGGCGCAGCTAAAGCTGTCTCCATTTGTCCCAACCTAACCAAACCTCCTTTTTGTTTGTGGTCTTCTGGTTTTGGTTTCCTCTCAGCTTCCTTCTAGGTGAAGTTATCTTTGGTAAAAGCTACCATCTCTTTAATATGCAACATTATTGCAAGCAGCCATTGAGCGGATTCGAGTGAAAAAAATACCTTCAAAATTGAAAAATAAAAAAAAATTAGAAAAAAATTTCCATTAAATATTTTTTTCGTTGATAAAATTAATAAATCTATCATATAAATTTTTATATATTATAAGTGAACGCAGTCTTTTACATTAAAAATGATACAGTTAGGGTTTCTTCAAAAGTTAAATTTTAATAAAGAAATATTTTGAGCGGTTTGTATTGGTTTGTTTCTTGTGTGGCATTATAAAGAAAGGCAGAAGCCTCTCCTTCACCTCTCAGAATCTACTATAAAGAAGAAAGCATAAAATCATGAAAGAGAGATTAAATAATAATTTTTAAAAAATAATAATTAAGTGAGATTGATTATTATATAATAAAAAAAATTAAAAAAATATGATTGATAATTTATGTTATTATATCATGTAAAATATTATATTCATATCGTATTCGTATTATAATTTATATTAAAATAAAAATATAAAATATAATTTTTTAATTTTATTAAATTTATTTATATATTTTTAAAATTTTAAATCGTATTATATTTATATGTTTTATTTATATATTTTTGCACCGTGTTATATTACAAATTTGTAGACCGACATGTCCCCTCCCAGTTCCCCACTGCCTTTGTCTGCCATGGTTAAAAAAAGTAAAGCCAAAGCTCAACCCCTCCACCACTCCAAGTCTTTTGTTTTTGACCTGTATAGTTGCATGTTTTTTTCGTAGTTTTTTGCTGTGTCATTTGCTGCTTTTGCTTCTGTTCATCAACGCGGTTTCTACTTTCCACACAAAATTCTTACAAATTTGGTCTCTTCAAAATCAATCAGAATCCAATGGACTCATCCATCAAACATAAATTTATACATATAATAAAAAGAACAAAGGGTTTTCTTGAAATTCAGCTTTGAACAAGGGACGGCTTAAGACTTAACTCATTTAATTATTTCGTGTTAACTTGTATAATATGGTTTGACTTATTTAATTTTTTAAATTAAGATAATTCAAAAAATAAATTTATAATTAATGAAAATTAAAATTTAACATAACATTCATGTAAAATCAAAATAAGATTAACTTTATGAAATGATAAAAATACTATCTATTTTATAAAAATATATAATTATAAATTCAAAGCTTCACTCAAATGATTCATTGATTTTTATTAAAAACTGAATTCCAACAAAATTAAATTTCGATTTTCAACGATTACAATTTTTCTTTCTCCAATTTTTTTAGACTTTGATTTCTTAATGTCAACACAATCAACTTATTGGGTTTAGGGTTTTTAGAATATATGGTGAACAAGACCAAGCTAGATTCAAGTATGGGTCATTTTCCAACTCCATTAACACGCCATCTCCCTTAACGAAAGTCTAAAACCAGGATTGTGACATGAGTTGGATCAACCGGTTTATTTTAAGGGGTTCAGGTGGGATTAGCCTTTCATTTTCCATTAAAAAATGAAAAAAAGCCATTGACAAGATGAAAGATACCAAGTTAATAGGGAAGATGAAATTTTTTTTAATTTAATTATTAAGATTTATAATAACACAGTTATTTTGTAATTCTAACAAGATTAAATTTTTGTTAAAATCTTAACTCTTTTATTTATTCCAATTAAACTCTTATTGTTTATGAAAATCATTAAAATTTGTTAGAAAATTAAGGATTTAATTAAATCAAATTTTTTTAAAATTTTAATTAGATAAAAATATTATTTTATGGATTTAATTAAGTACAAAAACAATAGAGGATGGAAGTTTATCCATAAAATTTGAAAAAGTATAATGATTTTTATAATATTTTAACCTTAATTTTTGTTTTCATACTTTTAATTTCTTTTGTTTTTGTCAAACGGAATATAAGTGGTTTTCGTAGTTTACTTCATTTTTTTCCTTCACAAGAATGTTAGGTTTCTTGGTTGATTGAAATAGCAATATTTCAATGGCCACAAAACATCAAATGCGAAGATCTAATAATTTTAAATACGATATGATGATATGATATAAAAATGATATGAATAAAAAATATAAAAATAATATAATTTAAAATTTAAAAAAATCATAAATAATTTTAATAAAATAAAAAAAATTATATTTTATATTTTTGTGTCGACATAAATTATAATATATATTTTTTTTATAAAAAATATAATACAAATATAATATTTTACATAATATAAAAATATAAATTATTAGGTAAAAATACGATGGAAAACATGACCTTTCTTCCACGAAATTCTTGGTTATAAAGGCATTTTTTTATTCAAAAGGATACGTGTTTGTTTCCTTTTGGTAAATGTCCTTGCTTTTTTATGTCAAATGATTGAGGCTTATTGGGATGTAGAATTAGAATGTAAACATGAGAAACTTCACCGAGTAGTCTGCTGACTTTATAGATTATAAACCAATTTCCAAAATATCTAAAACTAAACACCAATTTAAAAGAGTTTACATTTGTTGTCGTAGTGTTCATATGGAACCTTTTAAGTTTTAATCTTACATGCAGCATTTTACCCGTAATTATTTAATTATATTAAAAAATTATATAAGAATATATTACTTATAAATTTGAGTTTCTTGTAATTTTTTAAGTATAGAAGAGTTCGTAATATGAGATTAAAAAATGTTATAGATGTTAAAATTTAAATTTTAGATTTATTAATACCTCTTTAAGATAATTACATAAAGTAATTAAATTAAAATTAAAATTTATATAATAGTTTGATGAATTTTATATAATTTTAAATTATTATTGATTGGTTATAATATAATAATTTTAGTTAATATGTTTTGGAAAAATAAGACAAGGCAAGTTTTTGTTATTAGATCAAAAGATTTCCATAATAATAGTATTAAGCAGGATAAAGTTTAAATGAAATTTTTAGGTTAAGTTTATGAAGTTTATTTTTAAAAATGGTTTAAAAAACTTTAATAAAAAAACAAACCTATGGAATAATAGAGTTTAATCCGAAAATCAATAATATATAAAAAAATTATTAAAAAAAAATATTTATAATTCAAATTTGATCAGTACTTATTCAATGCTAAACATTCTATAATAATTTTGACTAAAATGCCTATTTAAAAAATATATGAATTTTTTTTTTAAATTTACACATTTAATCCATGTAAAAAGATCAATTTTTTATTTTTAATAAAAAATTCACAAATTTAATCTAAATCTTTATAGCAATTACGCAAAGTTTAATTTCCAACTATAGACAGGAGGAAAAGGCCGAAGTCCAGCCCAGCCCAATTGGAACCCCGATCAAGGTTCATCCCAAATGAAATGACCCATTCTTCCAAGTTCAAAGATCAACAATTTCTTCATAAACTACATCAGTAAAAATAAATCAACAAAAAGTTCTTAAATGAAAACTGTAAAGCAGTGGCCAAAGATTTCTTTCCATTTCAAACTGTAAAGTGTGGTAGGAAGAAATCTAAAGTGGTCTTCTCTGTTGCTATCTTTAGTAATAGAAAGAAACAGGTTGATGTCATTACATATCAAAAGAGTTAATAGGTAACACCAATGATACAATTGATAGCTAGCATTGACAAATAATCTAAAACTATGGTGAAGTCTTCTGAGGTGTTTAGCTGAGGTGTTGAATTGCTGCATCATAAGAAGACTGGCCTAACTTCTATGCTTGTGTCACAGTGCAGAATGTAAGTCCACAGGTTCAACGAATCGAGATCTTCGTCTCCTCTTGCCTTCAGGAGTGCACCTTACACTGTCAAACTTTCCCAGCTTCAGAGAAAATTTGCAATTTGGTGGCAATGACAATGTTTTTGATCCATAGTCTGAACCTGAATTAACCGATAGATATTTCTCTGGTGAAGATTTATTTGTGTCACCTTTTGTAGGTTCCTTATTCAAGGGAGATTTACCTCTTTTTGGGCATTCCAAGTTGAGTTTCTACCTTTCTCGTCATGCTTGAGGAGCTGTACATGGAAAGGGTTTACAGCCGAATAACGGACTCACCATGAACTCCACTTCTGTCTAGCTAGATTAACATCTCGATTGTTCTCCTGTATGACAAAATGTTTATAGTAACCTTGTTAACGCACAAATAATGAAGTGTCTAAGCAATCACCTTCAAGAACAACTAAATTTGCAGGGGGCTTCACAAAGTGATTCAACAAAGTTTCCTTGTTGGCTGAACTATCTAAGCTATTATTTGCTTCCACTGCAAATATAAACCTCATTTTAGCTGATACTAGCAACATAATTTCAAGTTTTCAACCCAAAAGAGGTCAGTGGTTAAAGGGTACCTGGGATATCATCTAAGCCCCAAAATTTGTCATTCTTTATGTGAAAACCTTTGTTCCGGCTGGACCGATGCGCCTTCTGGTTGATCCTGTTGCATGTTCAAGTGCATGCACCATTTTAAGTACAATGCTTCATTCCAGGAACAATCCTTACTGAAATGGAATATAACAATGTCGAAATAATACGCAAAACAAAGAATTTGGAACTAAAAAGAAAAAAAAAAAAGAAACTTCTTTTGAGAAAGAAACTCCAAATCAAGCAAAATCAAGTTGCATAGATACTCTACTTTTCGGCCATAAACTTGAACTGAACCATGAAAGCTGAAACAGCAATGCAGCTATAAAGAAAAATGTATAAATTAATTAAAAATACTCACAAAAAAAAAAAAAAGGTTTCTTTTTTTTGGGTAAATTGGAAATTAAAGGCAGAACCTTCAGCAAAGTTCACTGTTTTTTGCAACAAAGGCATGTGGGCTGTGGATATGGCTAAAAGAGAGCATTGGGCTAGGTTTTTATAGATTGGGGCTAATTGGCCCAATTTTAACACCGTTGGTGATTATGGTCTTCCTTTTTATTTAAGCCCAATTTTAGAATTTTATGAAACCTAAAATTCTAATGATTTATTTATTTATTTCTTTGTAAAATAAATTGTTGTGTTATCATGTAGAATTAAGTTGGAAGAGGCATTTTCCAATTATATTGGAGTTTTATCACTTTATGTTGACAAAAGAGAATTGAAATTCAAAGTTATAGCTCGAATTGCCCAAAAAAAAAAAAAAACACTCTATATTGGAAAACAACAAATGATAATGAACTTCTGTTCTTTTTTTTTTTTTTGTCTTTGACAACTTATTTACTTCTTAATGCTCAAGGTTCAATCTAAACTTTTTAGAGAGCATTAGAATCAATACAATGTGGAGATTTTTCTAGTATAAATTGTAAAAATAATTACTAGTATATATATAGCTGTTCATCATCTTCATATTTTGATTCTCTACAGTCCAGGAATCATGCCAGAAGTGAAGGGCACCCCAGAGCTTGGGATCCAGTCGCCACCACGTAAGAACTCGCCAACTGTGAATTGTTGGGCTTGAGCTCCATCGATTTTCTGGATACCGTTCCATTTAACCCTGTTGGTCTGAACTGCACCAGGTCCCCTGTTGCCAAACTCAGCATACCATAGAGTGTCAAGAGCGAAGTTACCGTTCCAGGGCAACCATCCCTCTGGGGCAATGATGTCATCAAGCTGAGATTGCATGACGATGGTCCTGGAGAATTCCTTCCATGGGCGGCCAAGGTATGCCTTGTTCGTATCCTTCACTGGAATATAGTCTGGGGCTCCAGAGATTGTGCAGTTATGGAGAACAATGGCAGAAACCTCACGACGTTCGATCCTTCCTTGAGCTGTGACGATGCATTGTTGATTTGCCAATGGTTTCCTGACGATGATTTTGCAGTTTTGAAAGACGGAAGCAGCATCACCGAATATGAAATCAATGGTTCCAGAGATGGTACAGTCCCTGTAGTATTGGCGATGGCTGTGGGCGTAGAGGGTGTCTTGGTAGCCATCCATCTGGCAGTTGTAGAAGATGGATCGATCACTTTGGATACGAAGTGCAACAGCTTGGTGCTTGATGGCTCCAGCAGTGTTCTCGAATCCAATGTCCTTGGCCATGAATCCTTCACCGACAACACCTGCAAAGATTCAAAAGCAAACCCTTTATATCTTGTTTAGTTTCTGGGAAATAATCATTGAATAAATTGTAATTATTTAAGTTATATAGTACTAACCAACTGTTGCAGTCTTGAATGTGCCAGTTCCATCAACATAGTTCAAGCGACCGGTGATGACGGTCTTGGTTGGGCCATCTCCAATGAACATAACATTGTTCATGCTTTTGGTGACGATCACTTGCTCGGTGTAAACTCCAGCCTTAATGTAAATAACAAATGTGGTGGGATTCTTCTTAGGAACTTCATTCAATGCCTCGTTGATGCTGGAATATTTACCACTGCCATCTTTAGCAACAATAACATTAGGCTTAATGGTAGCTGGAGTGAGCTGAAGGAGAGTGCGCTGCCCTGAGCTGACCCATGAAGGGAATCCATCCTCAGACAAGAGCCGGCGTTCGGCGCCAGTGGTGTCAATTTGGCCCACGTTTGGAATGTTGAGCTTGTTAAGTATTGTAGATATCTCAGAAACCATAGCTAAACTATTACTGGTAAGCTCCCGAGAAGTGTTCAAAAGTTCCTTCATCCTTGTTTCAGCTTCACCGGTTGTGTTCATGAATCCGTCCAAGCAAGTTTGTTGGTATGTGATGGCACCACCGAGCCAAATCTTAAGGTTTTCAACGTATTCATCGAGTTTGCTCATGTCAAATGCCCCCAGTTGATTGAAAGAGTTCTTAAGATCATCAATGGCATAGTCCATGAGCTCATTGCAATTCTCAAGAGCCTGACGAGCCATTGGGTCCTTAGCTACCTCTTTCACGGTGGATGAGTTGGCGATTACCTTCTCAATTTCGCTTATAGCAGCTTGGAAACCAACCCTTATAAGCTCCTTGGGATCAGTGGTGTTAGCATTTGAGAGGCTTCTTTCACATGATTCCTTGTAATCAGTGGGTTGGCAAATGGATTTTATAGCCTTGGTAGAAGTAGATATCTCACCAGTAGGAGGAGCACCGCCGCCATTAGGATTTCCACTGCGGCTTCGGTTAACACCAACGGCGACCGCCACCACCATGGCCACCAGGAACACAGAACAAACACTGATAACTGCAACGTTTTTTGCCATTTTCAAACACCTTTTTTTTTCCCAATAATATAATAAAATATTTTTGTAAGCGAAGTTTCTTTTTTTCTGATTTTTTTTCTCTTTTTCCTTTGACAAACAAAGAAACGAAAAAAAAAATAAAAACCCTAAATAGAGCTGTTGGGGCTCCTTTTGTTTTATTAGATATATTGCCCCTTGGGCTCTTGCTTGAAGAAGCTCTCCTCAAATGGGGTATTTATACAAGGAGGAGAGGAGGGAACATAACAACATGAACCACTAAAAAAAATGGTTATTTTTGGCCAAGAATTTGCAAGGTGGAGAGAGCCCGACGGAAGAGAGGGTTTGTTTAAGTTTTCTAAATATAACTCATTTTCCAAAGTTATGGTGTTTAAATTTTCTTTCCTTCTAAACCTGCCCTGTTTTTAAGTACAATATATCAAGTTTGATTCGAGCAGATTCGACTAATCAAAGGGTTGAATATCAATAAAAATATTTTTTTCCGATCATCTAGGATCATAATTTTGAAAAAAGTACAAAAAGGCTGGTGTTTAAATTTTCTTTCATTCTAACGTCATTTTGTTCTGGCGTTTGAATATTTAGCTGCAATCAAAGTTTGAAGCCTTTTTCCATATATATATATATATATATTTATGGAGTAAATTAGTTTGTATGGACAGTGGAATTTTTTGGATATGAGCAAATAATATATAGTAACTTGCATAATGATTTTATATATAGATTGATGAATTTTTTTAATTATCTATTTGAATTATTAAGGGGGGTTGAAACTAATGAGGCAGAAGAAATTCCATAGGAAAAATTATTTGTTTGCCATGAGATCAAAGGACTAATAATTATTAAGAAAATAATATATCAAATATTTGGTTCAATGATTTATGCATGATTTAATTGTGTTCGAAAAAATAGAATCCGGTTTTCGAATCCTTCCTTTCCTTTTTTCATAAGAATAATAATGCGAATACAAAGATAACTTTTCTTTTTGAAAATTATGTTCAACAGATCTAAGGAATTTTGTCTAGGCCTTAAGAAATGCTGCCCAAATACTGTCCACTCCATGAGGAAACAGCTTTAGTTTTGACCTCTCAGCCCCAAACCAAAAGCTCTAAAACAACAATCTATGAATATTAGGATGTAGTAGGCAACCTGATGAATATAACGAGCCCAATTTGTATTAACCAAGTCATTGAAACCAATTAGGTTGAGGAGCCCTTTTTGGCCTCCACAGCATGTACCAAACTGATTAAATCCCACATCGATTTTTTTTGCCTTTGTTGGTGTTGTTTATAGAAGTTTGAAGAGAACGCCTCGCTCGCCGAGCTAAGTAGCGTTAGCTTGTAACCCGAGTGGGGGCGTTAAGGTGATCGGATAGTGACTGGGTCCACCCAGGCTGGGCCTATGGTGCCGTTACATCGGTTCGCCCGTTCCAAGTTGAGAGTTGAGCCGTGCGGTGTAGGCGAAGGCCTGAGTCACTCGGCTCCTAAAGTGGAGGGTACAGCGTGAGGCTGGTTTCACAGAGCAGCGATTACCTCTCGCTCTTAACAGTGGAAGGATAACGGGTCGATGTTTCAGAGGCCCAAATTGCCTGGTGGATTAAGCTCAACTAGACAATCACCTTTTTGAAGTTTTCCTTTTTTTTTCGAGAAAATTATTGCATATAATTTCCGGTGGAATTTAATATGATAATTAAAAAAAAATTTTTTTTTACAAGAAAGTAATTTCATACATTTTCTGTGGAATTTAATCTGATAAATAAAAAGATATATGATAATATATATTCTACTAGTAACATATAAGAAAATACACAATTGACAACATGGAAAAGATCTACTAGTAACATATAAGTTATTCCATACATTACGAATGGTGTTCCAGGCTGAGGTATGCAAATTTGTCTATTGTATGCGAATTTGAACACTTGCAAACTTCTTTTTTTATTGCGACGGTTCCCTTTGAAAAAAAAAATGGAGCAAAAAGATAGAACATATACAGTATTCCAAATGGTTTCATCTTTCGTGATAATTATATCATTTACAGCTTTTATGATGTGAAATTGGGGGAAGAAAAAAAAGACATTGCTTGATGATATTTGTTTCAAGATCCTTCAAAGCTTAGCTCTCTGCAGGTCTAACTTGGCTATAGCACCAAAGTGCACTTCATCAGGTCCATCTCCAATTCTCAATGTTCTTGCTACGGACCACAGGTGAGCCAGGGCGGTGTCAGAATGTTGCACTGCATGGAAATAAAATTAAAGAAGAAAATTAGGAGTAGCCATAACCGCTGTGTCAATAAGCTGGTTCTGCTGCTTACAAACATTTGAGAATTCAGCATAGAATGTGAATAAACATTCAGCCTGAATGGTGTTCTTGGACCCTCTGTCTTTCATTGTGTTCCCCCCCATTGACTGTCACGCTCAGCTCAGCTTCTCTGCTGTTTCTAGCAGCCACCTATGGCTCCTTTCTGCTCGGCATGGCGGAACTGGCAGTTTCTTGGCGCCACCCGGAAACTTATTGGGCCTGATCTGGAAAATCTGAGGTCTGGGCTCTAGTATTTTTCCTTTAATGCCACGCTCACTCCATGGGCTTTTTGAGTTGTCCAACTATTATAGATACACGTGGTTTAATGTTACTGTTCACACCCATCGACCAAGTATTATTCATTTTGGATAATTTGCTCTTATGATTTTATCCTTAAAAAAATGTTTAAATTCTAATGCATTGGAGTGAGATTTAAGATTTTTTTGAGATGGTGACACCTAACTTGCACTTTTCCTATATTTCATTTTATAATTTTTCATAATTTTTAAATTGTTTTACATAAAATTATCATTGAACATCAATATTATAAAAATTTTGACAAACATACATTAAAATTTTGTTCTTAATTTCCATAACAAATCAAATTCGAAGAAAGAAAATGACAGAAGGAGCATATATGAAGTACTTTTACATTATCTAAATTTTTTTTTCCTATCCAGGAATATTGGATTCGACACCATCCACTCAAAAAGAGAAGCCATAGAAGATCGAAGAGAATTTCTTTTGCCACAAACTTTATTATATGTGCCTCGAATCTCAATTATTTGGGGGCATAAAAATACTTAATTTATGCCTTCATTTAGATTTGTCAATTTTAAACACGGTATGATGACATTTAAAATTTATAAAAAATTATATATAAATTTGATAAAAAATAAAATTTGTGTTTCGTTTTTGATATGTCAATACAAATATGATACAATAATTTTTATATTTTATATATATTTGATATAAAATTAATATAATATAAATATACAAATTATTAAATCTACTTTCACTTGAATTTCAGAAGTGACAAAAAAAGTTTATCCTTCCACCTCAATACTACTCAAATGTTGATAAGATAAGAATAATTTTAGCCAACAAGCTATCCAAATGTCAAATTATCTTGAGCTTGAAGTTTATCTTAGACTGTAACCTCTTTATGTATATAAAAAAAAAAAAATCAAATTGTCCTCCTCCAAGAAAACATATATGTTTGATAGGAAATATATTTTGAGTTTGTTTTCATACAAGAACAGTGAAATTTTTTTAACTTTACAAATGAAATCAAGAGACTGATACATGTTTCATTTATTTTTTAATTAATTTTTTAAATATATGTACGTGTCATCATCCTAATTATAATCTTACTTGTGAAATTTAAAAACTTCATTAAAAAAAGAAATAATTTCTCTTATTCTTATTAGTTGTTCCTTTTATAAATTTCAATTTGCGGAGAAGTTCATTTTCATTGCATCTAATTTGAACTTTTCATCATCTGATCTTTAGTGGAGTAATTACTTTAGTACCAAATTCATGATCTTCAAGGTGGGGTTATGATCCTCTACTAAAGTTGCACCAAAAAGTAATGCATAAAGAAGAGCAAAGTGCCAAAAAAAAAAGAAGGTAATTTTTGGGAACAACGAAAGAAAAGGAAAAGATATCATTTTGTTAGAAGCCAATTGGGCAACATCATCTATATAGCAAAAGATGCTTGACATCATTAAGTAAAAGATGCTTGACATCATCGGGGAGGGTTTAGAATTTGTACTATTTTCGTGATCCCTTTGATCTTTGATCAAATGCTATATGGTTTTCCCTATTTTATGCATGCAAAACCTAGGTTTTTCCTATTTGGGAGAGAATTTTTTTTAACGGGTAAAAGGAGTAATTCATTTTGGTAAGTTTTTTTAAGCATTAAAATACATAAATATTTTTTTGATCTTTTTCTAGGTGATCTTAAAAGAGCATATTTCTATATCGATATGGTGCATTCAAGATTTTATTTTTGAAGTGTTTTCATAAAAATCAAATATCAATTAAACTATATGATAACGAACTTCTTACTAAATAGTACTTTAAGAAGTCAGAACTAATAATAGAAGCCAGAGGAACCTAAAATTATCTACCTAATTAGAACTTACCTTGCTTTTTGCAATATTGTTAATAGCACCGATGGATCCATATATATGCAAGGTGTTTATGAGCACTCTCAAAAATTTAAAAACAAAAAAATTTGAAAAAAAATTCTTTAGACATATCATTTTTATTGAAAAAATTAATAAAATTGTTAAATAATTATATATAAAAATAAATATAAAAAAAAACTTAGATCCGTCACTTCTTAATAGCCACAAGTTGCAGATCCTACGGTAGGTTTTATCATTTGCTTGAATTGGCAGCACTATTAATTTAATCCTGTCTTGGATCATCCCTTGCTCTTTTGTTGAAGTAAGGAGTTCCATATAAGAAAAATATCTAGCCAGCACGGTCGATTATAAGAATAATCCAAGGCTTTATCGAGTGTAACATGCCATGTGCTGATATATATTTAACGAGAGAGATATATTCTCATCTTTTTTCTCGGTATATTTAATGCATATGCCTTGCAATTTGTTACATTACCAGCTTCAATTCTTGATGTCCATTTAGGTTGAATTATTATAAGGTTATTGATATATATTTTCTTAAAATGTAACCTAA